GCTCACCATTTCATATGTTAGTGCAGCCAGGAGCTACTAACGAAATTTAGTATAATATTTTCCCGACGATGCCCACCATTTCATATACAGCTTCTAATATACGAGTTTTATGTTCATTGATATCAAATAGTCAATCTAAGACTCCATAGTTTTCTAATTGTAAATTATAATGCCCGAGTTTCGAATAAATAGTTACTTTTGTAAATATTAGGTTTATTATATATATTAAGAGCTAAAGAAAAAAACTAATGGGACGCGTCCTACTTCCGTCGCCACCATGCTCAGCTACTTACAAGCTTTTCAAAACTGTAATGTACCGATGACTTTAATGTTCCTTGTCTCATTTTCATTTTGCTTGCAATTCATGTTTCTGTCTTTTTTTTTGCGCATGGGTAAAATGTGCAGCCCATGTGGGGATTCACAGTTGGTTTCAACTAGCTAAAGATGAAGATAGGAACATGGAGCAAATTCGTACACAATAGGAAAAGTAAGAAACGATAATTTGATACGTGACATTTCGAAACCCTCTATATATATCCAATTCTTGGTATATTGAATGGAAGATGTCGAGTGAGTCATACCAGTTCTCCACCCTTATCATATACTAGAAGACAGAGAGAGAGATGGATTTATTGGCTTTGATACTATGTGCTTACCTCGTTTTGGTTTTAGTCCATGCTCTACGTTTTCTCAAGAAAAAGGCCAGCACGAGTCCCTCCAATCTCCCACCCGGTCCTCCACCTCTTCCTGTGATCGGTAACCTCCTCGAGCTCGGTGATCTTCCGCACAAGTCCCTCGCCAAGCTCGCTCGCACTTATGGCCCCATCATCAAGCTTCAACTTGGTCATAAAACCACAATTGTTGTTTCATCTCCAGCAATCGCAAGAGAGATCCTCCAAACCCACGATGCAATCTTCTCCAACCGCACGATCCCCGACTCAATCACTGCCTTGAGGCAAGGCAAGACGAGCTCGGCTTGCCTTGGGTCCCCATCTCACCTCTTTGGAGGAACCTTAGAAAGATATGCAATTTGCACATATTCTCTCACAAGAAGCTCGAGTCCGATCAACACATCCGCCACGAGAAAGTTCAAGAGCTTGTCGGCTACATCAAGAGAAGCCTGTCCACGGGTGATGCTGTCGATATAGGCGAAGTGGCTTTCAAAACTGTAGTCAATCTATTGTCAAAGACCATGTTGTCCGAGGATTTGGCCGACCCGTCCGGTTCGGCGAGAGACTTCAAGGACCTTGTTTGGTGCATCATGGTCGAGGCCGGAAACCCAAACCTGGCGGATTATTTCCCCGCGCTTAAGAGGATCGACCTACAAGGCTCGAGGCAGCGTATGACGGTCTATTTCATGAAGATTTTCGAGCTCTTCGACAGCTTGATCGAGAAGAGGTTGCGAGATAGGGCAACGGTTGGTTCAATTAGAAAGAACGATGTGTTAGACACACTGCTTGATGCAAGAGAAGACAAGAGCCCGGACGTGGACATTTTCCTCATCAAGCACTTTCTCTTGGTACTTTTCAAGTACTTTGATCATGCTTTTTTTGCCTTAGTTATCATTTTCATCAACGTAGCAATTAATGGAATTTTAGTACTGGCCTTCACTTTTCTACCTTGGATTGGCTTTTCATTAGTTTTTACTTCTTCTTTTTTAACTCTTGATCTCGCGAACTTTTACTTATTCGATATAAGATGCTCAAAACTTTCAAAATGTGATTAGTATCAACTTGTAGATTCGCATACAATTTTTTAAAATCTTTTTGAATATAGACAATTTTTTGAGTTAGGAACCCGTATTAAGACAAGGCACGGTTCGGTCTTTTGTTAATTATCACTGGCTACATCAATGAAGGTGAAGATTGAGTTTTTCTAATAATTCTTTGAATGCTAAAAGTTGTGGAAAAGTGTCAGAAAAGTCTTAAATCTATTGCATCAATGCTAATTTAGTCATAACGTTTTAATGGTGCTAATTTAGTCCTAAACCTTTTGACCTAGGGCCAATCCAGTCATTCCGACTAATTTTGGTCGAATATTGCTGACGTGGACGTTAGCCGACCTATGTGACTCGGTCAACGTTGACGTAGATAACTTTTAATATTTTTCGATTTATTTATTTTTCCTTTTTTTCTTTTCTTTTTCTTTCCTGTTGTTTTCCTTCCCTTCTTTCTTCCTCCAATCGGTCACCAGACCTCGACGATCGGCCAGAGAAGAGGGCCGGCGAGGTCAACCTGGTGAGCCTTGCGAGGGGTTGGGCGACGCACGACCTCGCCCAGCCACTAGCGAGGGCTCGAGCCTCGCCGACCCTCGCCTCTGGCAAGTCGCTCAGGCGAGGCCAGCCCTCGTCGGCTACCGGAGGAAACAGGAGAAAAAAAGAAAATTAAATATATAATATAAAAAATAATTAAAATATTATTAAAAATGTATCGTCAGCGCCATTCGGCGTCCAAGTCAGCAATATTCAGCCAAAATTAGCTAGGAGGACTAAATTGAATTTAGGTCAAAAGATTTAAAACTAAATTAATACCAATACAATAAGTTTAGCACTTTTTTAACACTTTTCTTAAAAGCTTATTGAACGAACAATCATTTGAATAAAGATATGTCATAGATATACTGTTTACTCACGTGGATCCTACATATGTCGGATTTTGACGTGGACGTGGACGGTGAACCGGACCCAAGCAATACCTTTCTTATTTGTTTTCTTTCGATAATGCAATAGAGCTGAAAATTTTGAATGCAAAAGTTGGTTTACAGGATAATTTTGCAAGTTGTTATTAGTTTGTGCATATGCCCATCTAGTTACAATAGCGATTTCTAGCTTATCTTATCTCTTTATAAAAGAAATTTGTAAATATGTAGAGATATAAATTGTTCGTTAAAATATCAGTAAATAAAAAGTTCATGTATCACAATGACATGCATCGTTTAATATCTCTTGTGGTGGACACTTATAGGACTTATTTGTTGCGGGAACGGACACTACTTCGAGCACACTAGAATGGTCATTGTCCGAGCTACTCCACAGTCCCGAGAAGCTCTCTAGAGCGCAAGCCGAGCTCAATCGAGTCATTGGCAAAGGGAAACCCATAGAAGAATCTGAAATCGCTCGCATGCCCTACTTACAAGCCATCATAAAAGAGACTCTCTGGATCCACCCCCCAGTTCCTCTCTATCTTCCTCGCAAATCGGGATTGGAAACCGAGATCGGTGGTTTCACTATCCCAAAGGGTGCACAAGTTCTTGTGAATGTGTGGGCTATAGGAAGAGACCCTAGCATTTGGAAAGACCCGGATGTGTTCGTGCCGGAGCGATTTCTAGGGTCCGAAATCGATGTGAAGGGACAAGATTTTGAGCTAGCTCCGGTCGGTGCCGGTAGGCGCATATGTCCCGGCTTGCCGTTGGCCTTGAGGATTTTGCATTGGATGCTTGGTTCGCTCATAAACTCCTTCAATTGGGAGCTCGAAGGCGGGGTCAAGCTAGAGGACATGAGCATGGAAGAGAAGTTTGGGATCACCTTGCAAAGAGCTCAACCTCTCAGAGTTATTCCCAAGCCAGTTTGAAAAGAATGTAGTACTTTTTTTTGTATGAACGAAAACAAGAGAGCACTTACTGCTTATTATGTTTGTATAAAGGGTATGAGCCAGACTCAAAGTCAAGTCCTAGATGTTGATGATAGAAACAACGCATAGACCTACATACCTAAAATGTTCGTGTACTTTAGAAATACTATCACTCTATTCCGAAGGTCGAAAACTTTCATTATTACTACCCTAAATTCCCAATTCGCTTTCAGTTGGAGGCTTATCACAAGTGACTGCTCAATGTGACTATAAGTTGTTAATATGATGGGTGAAGATCCTTTATCCTTGTATTGTGTTCTCGATTTGCATCCCAACAATCTCGACCATCAAATTAATGCATTTATAGTGACAAGTTTTTATCACGTGAATTAACATTTGAGATGGTAGAGACATCGCAAGAAAATGCGATAAGGATAGAGGATCTCTTTCCACTACTATAATCGTGTCCCCTCCAAGGAGCATTGTGCTGCATAATGATTTGAATAGTTTATTAGCGAAGGGAATACCACATTAACCCCAAAAAAGTTAATAGTGATGAAAATGCCTGAGACGCAGTTGAAACAAACAAGATACTTTTATGAAAGTTCATGGAATAACATTTACGCTACGTGTTTTTTTTTATAGTAAAACTAGTCGTATTAATGATGACAGATGTCGCATGTATTTAAAAAAAGGCTATACAATCCGTTTATTTAATGTTTCTCCACTATGAATCCATTAATTAAGCCAACATCAAATGTGATCCTTGATTAGATAAGAATGGGCCTATTCGGCCGAATATAATCTCGAATTAAATAAGAAAAAATCGAAACCGAATTCAACAAAATTAGCGACAAGAGGAAAATGAAAAGAGAGGTTTACTTGTCATTTACATGTCCAGTTTATAAGATTTAGCTACTAATTTTTCATTCGAAAGACATTGAAAATCGAAGGGAAATTCAATTATAAGAATCTATCTCGCGATAACAAAAAAGCTTTTTTTGACAAAGATGATTAACATTAATGAAAATTTTGGGACCGCCATGACGAGAGCCCGTATACAAATACATCCATCATGAAATTTGATTGAAGATTCTTTTCATTGGGAAAAAAGAAAACGTTATCTTTACGATCCTTCTCCACTTCCGATGAGATAATCGAGGGTTTGGTGGAGGCCAACGTGCTACAACTGTCACACACGTGTTTTGGCAGTAAATGTCTTATCAGTACTATCATTTTTTATTATTATTACTATCATACCTGTCTCTTCCATTTTTCTTTGCGCTTGGGTCTTTACCCACGTGGGGATTGCCCCTTCAACTAAGCTAAAGGATCGGAAAAGGAGGCAGTGATGGCTCGACACTTGGCATTTCGAAAACCCTATACTATACGCACATCCATGCCTTGTGCCTGTTCTCCCCGTCATAATATACAGAGAGAGAGAGAGAGAGAGAGAGAGAGAGAGAGAGATGGACTTCTGGGCGTTGATTCTGTGTGCTTCCCTCGTTTGGGTTGTAGTCCAAGCTCTTCGTTTCCTCGAGAAAAAGGCCAGCACGAGTCCCTCCAATCTCCCACCGGGTCCACCACCTCTTCCGGTGATCGGTAACCTCCTCGAGCTCGGCGATCTTCCGCACAAGTCCCTCGCCAAGCTCGCTCTCGCCTACGGCCCCATCATTAAGCTCGACCTCGGGTTCATAATCACTATAGTCATCTCGTCACCTAGCGTTGCCAGAGAAATCCTCCAAGCCCACGACCTGTCTTTTTCGAACCGCATGGTCCCCGATACGATAACTGCATTCAAGCAAGACGCGCTTGGTTTGCCCTGGGCGCCCATCTCGCCTCTATGGAGAAACCTAAGGAGAGTATGCAACCTACACATATTCACCAACAAGAAGCTCGACGCGACTCAACAATTGCGTCTCAAGAAAGTAGAAGAGCTTCTTGCCCACGTTAAGATAAGCGCTCAAGTCGGCGATGCAGTGGACATCGGTGAAGCGGCTTTCAGGACGACCCTTAACTTCTTGTCCAACACCATTTTCTCCTTGGATTTAGCAGACCCTTCTTCTGTTTCTGCTACCGAGTTCAAGAAGATCGTTTCCCGTATCACGGTCGAGGCCGGAAAACCTAACATTGCAGATTATTTTCCAGTGCTCAAGAAGATTGACCCGCAAGGTTCGAGGCGTCGAATGAAGATGTATTTCGGGCAATTGTTGGATATGTTCGAGGGATTGATACGGAAAAGGTTGCAGATGAGGGCAGCATCGGATTATGCTAGGAAGGACGATGTACTGGATACACTAATTGATATATGTGAAGATAAGAATGAGGACATGGAGATCTTTCAAATCAAGCACTTAATGTTGTTATGTTTGGCAATTTCTGTCTATGCTCTTAAGTAACTATTGATCTTTTTCTGGCTCAATTCCCATCAGCAAATTAGGTGCTTAACTGACTAATATGCCGAACGCTTAAATTGCTGGAACAGAAGACATACATTTTTCGAGGAAAAATGGCACTAAAATTCCTAAGCTTTATGTATAAATCCAGTCTTAGACTACTCAATTGGTATAATTAAGATCTAAACCTTCTTCAAAAAATTCAATCCTGTTATTTTGGTGAACAGTACCAAAAGTTGTTAATTTGAAATTCTTAAATTGCACTTTCTGAAACAATTCCGAGTTTGGATTGCATTTTCCGATAAAGGTTTAGACTCAAATTGCCCCAATTGAAAGGATTAGGAAGCGATTGCAAATGTCAATAGGTATTTGATAATTGATTGTACTTCATGCATGGAATTTAGCACTTATGGTATAATCATTTCATTTTTGTAATTTTTAAATTCATGATGTATTATAGCATTGCTTCTCTATATATGGCTCTTCTTGCTTGTACCAATAGTTTTAGGAGTAGGAATTTTTATACCATTTCATGCTCAATTTGCAGCTCAGCTATTATTCAACCAAGCGATTTTACTCATATTTGTTCGTTGAACATAGGAATTGTTTGTCGCGGGCACCGATACAACTTCTAACACATTAGAATGGGCAATGGCCGAGCTACTCCACAATCCGGATAAACTATCAAGAGCCCAAACGGAGCTCGATCAAGTCATCGGAAAAGGCAATCTCGTCGATGAATCAAACATCGCTCGCTTACCCTATTTACAGGCCATCGTCAAGGAAACTTTCCGCTTGCACCCAACAGTTCCATTACTCCTCCCTCGGAAATCAGGGGCGGAATTAGAAATCAGCGGCGTCACCGTGCCGGAAGGCGCACAAGTCTTCGTCAACGTATGGGCCATAGGGAGAGATGGTACGTTGTGGGAGGACCCGAATGCATTTATGCCCAAGAGGTTTTTAGGGTCGGAAATGGACGTGAAGGGACAAAGTTTCGAGCTGATTCCATTTGGCGGAGGTCGGCGTGTATGTCCAGGCTTGCCATTGGCCTTGAGGATGTTGCATATGATGTTGGGTTCGCTCCTCAATTGCTTCAATTGGAAGCATGAAGGTGGGATTGAACCTGAAGACATGAACATGGACGACAAATTTGGCCTCACCTTACAAAAGGATCAACCACTGAGAGCTGTGCCAACGTTGGTGTAGGCAGTGAGCAATGAGTGTTCTCCAACTTTGCCAATTTGGAATCTCTGGATGCAAACTTTGATGTATGGTTTGACTTGATAACGAATGTGGTAACGTTAGAGATGGTCATCTTCTTAGGGAAAAGGGAAAGTCTCCTAAAAATATCAAATGAAGAGGCGGAAAATTTTTAGGTCTTTAAGCAAGTGAAACTGATTTTCTACGAGCTCTTTCATTGAAGACATCCAATGATATGAAGTTTGTCCCACTAATTAGTGAATTAATTTTGATGAACTTTCTTAACATGACCGACATTTATTAATTCATTTACTATTCAAGAGTCATGAGTATTGACACCTAGATTTTAGCTATCATATTTATTGTATAAGAAGATAAGGGATCGTCCACGACCCCTAAACAAAACATATCAATATTGCATTGTTCGTATACACGTCGCACGTAGGTTCTAATGGCTAATTCATTTTGTCAGCTGGGCCCCAAATATGAGGCGGACCCAGTAAACATAAAATGACCGACGTGATCGTATCTTTCATGCAATGATTTTCCGCTAAATATAGTGGTCAATGAAATATTCCGTGGGCCTATGCACTTCAGCTGCAAGGCTTGGCCTACGCTTCAATTCCATGCCAACCAAACAATTAATAGAGTCAAAGTACAAGAAAAACATATTATTGATCACAATTTGAAATTGGAAGTCAAACTAGTAATCCACAAGTGGTTTAGCAAAGGCCCCTAATGTTGAAATTTAACCAAGGTCACATGAAACTGAGGAAGAAAGGGAAATAGGGATTTTGTGCTTTGAAATTAGACACGAACAAAGCCCATGATCATGTTGAGTGGGATTTCCTCGACTTGGTAATAATTCTTATGGGTTTCGATAGGAACTTGGTAAATTGGATAATGGTGTGTGTTATGTAACACCCCCACCTCGGGGTTATTCATGTGACATCCCGTTCATTATTATCTTTCGTTACACACAAGCGGAAGCATAATTTCGGGACAATCATATTCAAAACAACATCGGAATTTAGACAAGCAACATCATGAGCAAACCTTATGTTTACAGTGCATGCAAACATGTTTTAACAAGCCATTCGGGCCATGGCAAACAACACATAATTCACACGCACTATAAATAGCAAAACTCGGCTGGGTGATCCTATCCCCTCTACTTCGTCTTCTCGCTTCTAACTCCATCCACATCTCCTCCCCACTTCCCGTCCGCATGGCCAATCTACACCCCACCTGTGGCATGCCCCGGAGCCGGCTCGCCTACACCGCCAAAAGGTCCATTGAACCCACGTAAGGGTCCAACCCATTCTCCGTCAGTGTAGCCATGCCATGCTACGTACGGGTGAGGCACCAAGTCCGTTAGGCCCTCATCGACCATCACATATGTCGTGATCCGGCGGTAGGCTCGGCCTTCTCGGGCATCTATCACGGTGAGCATTTTTGTTCTCATTTCCACGGGATTGCCGAACCGGGTTGGGGAAGACGCCATTCTTCGGACCTAAAAAGCAAACAACGGGGGATGAGTCGGGGAGACTCAGCAAGTAAACCTAGTATTTCAAGCGAGGACGAGGGGATCGCCGTTAGCACAAGTCGGCCCTTACCGCACCCGCATCGATGGTAAATCAATAGCAAAATTCATACAAGAGAACATCAAGCATGGCTATAACATGTGCACCTTGCCATTCAAGTCTCGGTTCTATCTCCAAAACAAACGTCAAACACGAAACATGATTAAATCGAGAAATGAACCAACTACAACCAACCAAACGATCGAGAAACGGTCCAAGCAAACCATGTCATAATGTATCACAACTTCCTTTCCCGATATTAGGAAGTTTACTTACACAACGACTAACAAAACTAGAGAACGAGGTAGAGACAGGCGAGCTCGGGTGATCTTCGGGCTTTCTCTTTGCTTGGCCGACTAATACGAGGTACACAAAGGCCAAACCGTGGGCTCTTGGATGGAAACGAGGAGAAACACGGGCCGGTTCGGGACTTCTTGGGCGTGGGCTTCTCAGGCCGAAACGTGAGAAAAACAAGAAATAAAAGGGAGAGGAAGGTGATGGAGAAGTTGGCGTGAGAATAGAGAGGGGGGTGTCATGCCATTTATAGAAGGCTTGGAAAACCCTAGAAAACCCTAGAATAAGCAATAATGGAGGGGCCTCTTAAGTCAAAAGTTATGATGGCATGCATTAAATATTCTTAATGACTACGGCCAAAAGATAATGATGAAGGGCCAAGCTTATCCATGCCATTATTGGCCCTCTCTCTCTCTCTCTCTCTTGGCTAATCTCTTGAGCGGGCTCTCTCTCTCTCGGCTACCATTTTCCTTAGCCGACTCTCCTCTTGGTTCTAGCAATAATTGGTGTCCGAGGCATTAAATGCAAGGGACAACTCAGCTTATCTTCATTAATGGCATGTCATGATGAAGAGGCCTCCAAAGTCTAATGTCATTAATTAGGCTTCTTGAACAAGCTTCATTCTTGGCCATTCATTTCCAAACTTAGCTTCAAGTCTTGAACTAGGAGTCATGATGGTCTAAAGGCCCTAAAACTTGGAGAGCAAGTTGCATTATTGGTCTTTTCTCTCTCACCCTTGGCCGTGAGTCATCTTACTGTGCGTGAATGATGGCATTGGTTATCAAGATTCCATTATAGAATCATTCCAAAAGAACACATTTCAGCTTCTGCCACTATATGTAAAGCCTCATTTTCCCCTTCATATGACCTCCAATAAAAGTGTAACATATCTCATTTGAAAGATCATAACGTGTAAATTAAATCACCAGAAGACATCAAGTCGAAATTCTAATGTTCTCATATAGAAATCGATGAATCTTTGAAATCTGACAAAACCGGACAGCTTTCCGCTGTTCACAAAATCGGACTTGAAAACATAGTAAATGGACTCCTAAAATTCTCAAATTTGAATATTTCATAAACAAGGCCTTAACAAACATTTCTCATGAAGAACACAAAATTGGAATCTTTCTGTAAACACCATTTTTAGTAGCTCAAAGACAGACTAAAAACAGTTCACTGGAACAGAATTCTTGTTTCTCAAATTAAGCGCTGTCCAGAATCCAAATCACCTCCAAAAATTCCCAAATTTATATATGTTATAGAAAAGGAAGTTCTCAACAACTTTTGTGAGGAAACTTTTCCAAAATCGTCCCAGAAAATCTTGTAGAAAATGAATAAAGGGTGAACATCACCGAAATACCCATTCTAGACAGTTTTACACGATCCAGAAATTAGGCTGTCGTACTACTCATATCAAGTCCAAAAATTCCGAAATTAAAGTATGTAAAACTTCAAGATGTTTGGAGAAACTTTCAAGAGGGAAGTGTTTGGAAATTCGGATCACAAAAGTCTCCACAAAAATAACAAAACGAAGGGGTACAAAGGATCTAAAACTGTATTTTCCAAAACAAGAGTAAAATTTGAATCCAATTAAAAAACTACTAAACTTAAACCATAGCCATTTCCCAGGGACTAAAATTGAGGATGTTACATGTTAGGTCAGTTTCATATAAATTGCATATAAATGGTAAAAATTGCAGGTCAAGTGTATCTTCCGAGAGGAATTAGATAGGGAGATCCTCTCTTTCATTATTTGTTTATCTCAGTGGTTGATGTTCTCTCACATATGTTAGTGCAACCAGGAGCTACTAACAAAATTTAGTATAATTTTTCCCCAATGATGCCCACCATTTCATATATAGCTTCTAATATACGAGTTTTATGTTGGTTGATATCAAATAGTCAATCTAAGACTCCATAGTTTTCTAATTGTAAATTATAATGCACGAGTTTCGAATAAATAGTTACTTTTGTAAATATTAGGTTTATTATAAATATTAAGAGGGAAAGAAAAAAACTAATGGGACCCGTCCTACGTCCGTCGCCACCATGCTCAGCTACTTACAAGCTTTTCAAAACTGTAATGTACCGATGACTTTTATGTTCCTTGTCTCGTTTTCATTTTGCTTGCAATTCATGTTTCTGTCATTTTTTTTGCGCGTGGGTAAAATGTGCAGCCCATGTGGGGATTGACAGTTGGTTTCAACTAGCTACAGATGAAGATAGGAACATGGAGCAAATTCGTACACAATAGGAAAAGTAAGAAACGATAGCTTGATACGTGACATTTCGAAACCCTATATATATATATATATATATATATATATATATATATATATTGAAATATCTAATATATTGAGAAAATAAACAATGGATATGAGATATGCTACTAGTTCTAGCAACGTTGAAAATATATCCTAGTATAAAAGTGCAGATTTCTACACAGAAAACTATTAAATAAATAAAATTAAATAAAAGCGCGAGCATTATAAATAATAAAGAGACCGTAAACAATATATAAAACTATAAGAAGAATTGCAAGGAATTCTAGACCAACCATGTAGGTGGTATTGCTAAGAAAAGGGTAAAACGGTAAGAAGAAGTAAGGATATATATAACAATTGCAGAGAACTGCTTTAATCTAAAGTACAGACCTTCCACAGGCGGTTCGACCTGCCGTTTGTGGGGTATGTAGTATGTTAATGCAAAAAGGAAATTAGAGAAATGACTGGTATATAAACAATATTGAAAGATTACAACAATAGTATTGAAAGGTTACAGGATGTAGATATCGAAATACAAGTGCAGTAGTAAGGAAATTTCTTTGGTAGAAAGTGATGGATCTTATGGAGTTTCGAATGAAACTTTGTGTTTCCTGAGAATAGTTATAGCAGATGTCTGCAGACTATATTTCTCGAAAGGAAACTAAGATCTAGAGGGTTATATGAAAATTCTGAACAGGGATCAGAAACTTACTGGTTATGGAAAGGTTATAGAAAGGTTTGAGATGAATGATCTCTTATTCTCTCGAAGGAGGCTTGGAGAGATCCGGGGAAGTTGGAGAGGTTTTGAACTCAGAGAGAAAGGGTCTGAAGAAGTTCTGCCCCTCTGAAGTGAGTGAGGTCTGGTTATATAAGAGGGCTGGGTTCCTGTAGAAATAGTTCACGGGTAGTACTGTAGTAAGTAAGTCCACAGTGTTATAGTGAACAGTGACCGAACATAATTATGAAGTTCTGAGAAAAGAAAAAGTTGACAGACTTCTTTCGGCTTAGAAATTATGAAAACAGCCAAAATAGCCTGGAGTCTTTCGGCGCCTTGTCCTTAGGAGAATCTGGAGAGATCTTCCACCAGTTCAAGCTCTTCTTCTTCTTCAT